AATGGCTTCGCGTATAAATGCCAAATCACGTGAATCACGTGAATAAATGCTAAATCACGTGAATATCACGTGATAATTGACGTTTGAAATTTTGGACTAATGCGGTTTATAGGTGACAGCCACCATAGAAAGATAGAAAAAGGATGGATTAAAGCTTCTCTAAATATAAAAGACTTTAGTCTCATTATTTATATATTATATAAAATTATATAATGTAAACAGATAATTTCTAATAATATTCTTGATTTTTGATTTATTCTTGTTTTTAATTTTATTTTATTCTTTTGTTACTTTATAACAAACATTAGTATGGCTAGAGATATTATTTTTAGTTTTAACTATAATACTATATACATAAATATTAAAAAATTCTTAATACTTATTTATTGATAAATTATAGATTAGTTTTTTTATTAAACTTAAGCTTAACAAAAAAGATTTGATGGTTTATTTTATATTGAAAATAGAATTTATTGATGTATTTATTATAAAAAAAGTTTTTATAATTAAAATATGAAAGTTGAATATATCACAAAATTTAGAATTTCTTTTTTATAATGCAAAAATGTAAAATAATTTTCTTTTGTAACAATTTAAATTCTTATTTTATAATAAGAAAATGCAAAATAATTCCTATAACAATATATAATAAAGTATGATTATCATAAAAGAATAATCAACATTGTATTTTTTTTTGACTTTAAATACTTGAAACCTTTTAAATATATTTTAAAATAAACTATTACATTATAATTAATTTTACTACTATATCATTTTTAAATTATATTAATATATTGATATTTTACAACTTATACAACTGATATAACATACTGATATATGAATTCTATAAAAGGAAATTGATTAACATGCTCGTGATCAGAATATCTTGATATTAGATATAATATATAATACATAATAAATTTAATTATAAATTAATATTATGAATTTTATTAATAAAAATACTTAATTTAAATATTAAAATAATATCTTAGGCATTTTTATATTATAATAGGCTTTAAAAATAACATTAAATAAACGGTAAATCTCGTGACTCAAGCCTAGATTTACTGCAGAATCATCTGTGTAGCCTATACACAACGAGCCCGTAACTGCTTAATAACGTTCTAAGTAATCGAAAAAAAAAAGGCTTCGTTTCGTCAGCATTTAACGAATATTACGAATTATTGACAAGTACCTCGGTTAGTTTGTTAAACATTCTTTCAATTTATAACAAATAAAAACCACTCCAGTGTAACAATTTTATTGATTATAAAAATTTACCTCCATATTCCGCAACAGAGAGGTATTGGGTTTTTATTCATAACAATAGATCTGTTAGTTTTTTTTTAACTCCATTATTTTATACTTTTCATTAATTCCTTTATACTCTTATTTCAAAACTTTTTTTCTGTTTTTCTTTTAAAAAAGTTTTCTTTTAAGAAAACATGAACCCAATTAAAGAAAATACTGCCTCACCTGAACATTCAATTGAACCTGTAACTACTCATACTCGTAATAAAATAGTATTACGAGCGAATAGATCTACTACACATAAACCTCGTAATTCTAGTGGTGGGGGTGGCGGTTCTAATAGAACATATAATAAGCGTTCTAGCAAGAAAAATAAGCTTATAAAGACATCAAAAACGCGGAATAAAAATAAAGAAATTATTAGTACATCAAAAGAAGTAAACGAGAGTCGAATAATTCCTGTTGAGGAACCTCCGAGAGAAGAGCTACCTTACGATAGATTTTTTCCTGATTTAAAAATAGATGAAAAATTAGTTGTGGTTTATGTTTCTTCTAAAGATCTTGTAGGGGATCGAGTAGAGGAAAAGGAAGTTGAGACGACAATAACGAAAGAAGAGAATGGTGAAATAGCAGCAAGAAATGTAAAGAGTGCAGTACAAACTCAGGAATACGATGATGTGAATGATCATTCAATTGCTATCGAAAATAATATGACAATTTCTACCTCAACAACTGAACAGGCTCAAATTGAAGAAATTAGAACAACTATTGTGCTTTTGAACAATAATCATCAGGAAGATAAAATTCAAGAAGTGTTACCACCAACAAGCAATATACATTCCATTAAGGGTTCTGGATGTTCTCAAGATTCATTTGCTTCATTACCAAAGAATTTTGAAGAAACGTCCACACCTAAAGATTCTGAAGAGATTTCGTCATCAAAAGATCTGAATGAAGAAATGAGTGAAGAAACTCCAAGTCCGAAAATTTCATCCCGAAAATCGTCGATAGAGAAAACTTTTCGTAAAGATGCAAAAGATGATCATGATGATGATACCGCGAGTTTTAAGGCTTCATCTCATGATGATATGGATGAAGAAACTATTGACGAGGATGAACAGGATGAAATGCAGATAGAGTTAGAGAATAGCATGATGAAATTACCGAGTATTAATTATGACGTAACGGTAGAAAATAAATCACTTGATAAGGAAATGGATTGGATATTTACAAACCCGATAGTAGCAGCCGATGATCATAACGTGGTAGAAAATGGAGTAAAAAAAGATCAAGTTATTGTAGAAGGTCCTTCTACGGCTATTATTACAACCGTAGAAGATAATATGCCAATTGCACAACCGCCCCCGGTTAAAAAACTTCCGGTTCCTTCCTTTAAGCGAATTAATTTCACTAAAGAGGAACCCGATGAAACATTTGTTAGACCAGAAGGACATTATATTCGTCATGTTGGTACGTTTATATTAAAAAAAAATTATGTTGTATAAAATAAGAGAATGCTAAAAACTTAAATTATAACGTATAAATTCTAATGTATATTTCTTGTTATCTAACTTTGATAGAATTATCAGAAAAGGATCTTGTGGAAATTGTTGAGTATGATATGGATGAACAAGGCATATATAAATATATTTTTTGTTATACTATTATGGTAGCCATTTTTACGATTAGTACATGAATATTTTATACTTACAGATTATATACAATTTAGATGATTATTGGCTAAAATCTTTGAATGAAGAAAGAAGGAAGGATGACTTGGGTGAAATTTCCGCTGATGTCTTTGAAGCTGTTATTGATAGACTGGAAAAAGAATGGTTCGATTTGGTTAGTAAATTAATTTATTATTTGATTTATTATAATAATTATTTATATATTCATTATTCGAAATAAAATTGTAATTAGACCAAAAATTTACCAAAAGGTAATACAGACAAAGATAGTATGACTCCAGAAGATTCAACTTGTGCAATTTGTGATGATGGAGAATGTGAAAACAGCAATGCAATAGTATTTTGTGATGGGTGTAATCTTGCTGTACATCAAGGTAATTTAAAATTTTTTATTTAAAGTTATGAATGGTTTTCCTATTAAAAAAATTAATTAATTATTTATTCATAAATTATAGATTGCTATGGAATTCCTTATATTCCTGAAGGGCAATGGCTATGCCGTAAATGTATAGTTTCGCCAGAGACACCAGTGGTATGAACTATGTAAAGTTTACCTTTAAAAGTTTTGTTGATGTCATTCCAGCAGCACAGAAATAAAATTTTTTGAGTCTTGTTTATTATTCATTATTAGTCGTGTATATTTTGCCCAAATGAAGGAGGTGCCTTCAAAAAAACTAATACAAATCGTTGGGCGCATTTACTTTGTGCTTTATGGATTCCTGAAGTTGGATTGTCGAATACGGTATATATGGAACCGATCGATAATATAGAGGGAATTCCACGGGGACGTTGGAAATTGGTAATATTTATTTACTTTGCCTATTATTGTAACCGCCTATATCTTCTTCCATTGTTCAATTCATTTGCTCAGAACCTTTTTTTTGATATCTTTCCTTCAAAAATTTAATATATATTAATTTGGTCGTTTGCTAATGAATTTTTATAAATCATTAGAAATGTTACATTTGCGAAAAGAGAATGGGCGCATGTATACAATGTCAAAATACTCATTGCTGTACAGCCTTCCATGTAACATGCGCAAGAAAGGCGAAACTTTGTATGAGAATGAAATTCCCTGACGAAAACCATAATCATTATATTATGAAAGCTTATTGTGATAAACACACGCCTGTAATTACATTTATAATTAATATTTTTTGATATTCTGTCAGTATTCTTGCTTATTACTACTAATATGCATTCTGCAGCGAGATTATAGAGAACAAATTGACGTTGCGAGTACAGTTGCTGCGGCGCAAAAACTATTAATGGATCCCGTTCAAACAGGAAAGAGACGCCGACATGACATCGACTATGGGACTGATGAATCCGACGATTATGTTCCAAGTGATAGCGAAGAAGAAGATATGGAAGATCAATACATTGATAAAACAGAAATATCTCATTCGCGTAAAACAAGGAAACGAAAACAAACGGATGATGTAACAAGTAACCGCAAAACGAATAAAGCTCTACGTAGCATTGAAAATGGGCAAGTTGCTCAATCTGTTGAGAATAAGAATTCTAAAGCTGCCCGTGCGTACAATCATACTTATACCGATACTGCGCCTGTAGCTCCTGCGGTTATAATGGAGAAGGTATTACCAGTGTTAGCAAGACAAAAGGGCACAATGCGAAAAAAACCGGAGCTTATTACTATCATTTGTAAATATTGGTCTTTAAAGAGAGAATTTCGACGCGGAGCTCCTTTATTGAAGAGATTACACCTTGAGGTACGACATTAACTCTATTACCATTTTCATTTTCTATAATTCAATAATCATTTTTTTTTATTTTTTATTTATTTTATTTTAAAAAAGCCATGGACGGCCTCTGCTTCTGCTCACAAACAATCCGAGGAAGAAAAATGGGCCAAATATATGGTGGGAATATATTTATTTAAAATTTTATTCAAATATACATGTGTTTACCTTATAATCACTATCTAGGCAATGACTGACCTTCGTAAAGATCTGGAAAAAGTAAGAATGTTAGTTGATTTGGTACACAGGCGTGAAAAGGAAAAATTAAAGAAAACAAGATTACAAGTGAAATATCTGGAGACGATTCTTTTCCCTCTTGATTATATTCTTCGTCCTGCATTAGAAGAAATTGTGGCGTAAATATTCATTATAACCTTTTGATATTGTTTTTTATTTTTGTTTTTAAAGTTTAATTTTTTTTATTCTTAATAGATTGGATAAAAATGAAATATTTGCAAAACCAGTGTCAATTGAAGAAGTACCTGATTATTTAATACACATTACGCATCCAATGGACTTTGGGACAATGCGCAAAAAGATTGATGCACATGAATATAGTCTGGGTAGTGGATTGCAAGGATTCAAGGTATAATCCATTATTTAAATTTTATTTAATGAAATTTTACAAGTTTTTATCTGATCAATAACTTCGTATTGGAAATTAGGATGATCTTGAGCTTGTATTTCGTAATGCCATGACATACAATACTTCTGACACGATTTATTATCGAGTTGCTAAAAAATTACAGATTCAATCACAATCCATTGTTGCTAATGCTGAGCAAGATTATTCTGGCTTAAATATAGATCCTAAAAAAGGTGTTTTGGACGTTCCGTTGCATCCAGAAATATTCACTTATAATTCAGATCCGTTAAAATTTCCGGAACCTAAAAAGAAGATTGTACCAAAGAGGAACAAAAAGACGCGTGGAAGATCAGCACGTGGTAATGCAACAGAGAATGGCGAAGGACCTTCACGCGTATTACGTAGCCGTACTTCAAGATTAGCTACAACCTCAAAAAAACTAGAACAAGAAACAAAAGTTGAAGAAACTAAAGTAAAGGAAACTATTGATGGCAGGAAATTGCCAAAAGGATGGATTTATTTAACAGATGAAGATGATGAGGAGGAGGGGAATGAAGAGTCAATTCCACTTATAAATGGGATTGAATATCAAGTTCCTGTCGTTGATAACGATAATGTGATTGCTACGCGAACAAGGTCTCGTAAAAGCAGCGTATCAGAAATGATAATAAAGACTGAAGATGATGAAACTGAAATGTCAGTCGGTAAGTTCTTGTTACCTTATTATTAAATATTTATTTCACGTTTATTAATGTAATATAAAAAAAAATTTTTTAGAACCCTTAGAGGTAGTTAGACGTAGTCGATCTAACAGTCAAAATATGAGTGAGGCTGCATTGGTTACTACTCCAAATTCAGAAATCACTGTACAAACTCGTAGCCGAAAAGGATCTATTGATTCATCAACTGCAGAAATTACGAACGTTCCCTTCGGTAGCTTGGTTTGGGCAAAGATGCAGGGATTTCCTTGGTATCCTGCTGAGGTACTTTTTTAATTCCAAGTATTCCAAGTTATTTCTATTGTATATTTCTTATTAATCATAAATTATTCTTCGTAGGTTGCAGATCCTGAAAAAGCGAATATTACATCAGTAATCCGGGCAGACAAAAAAGAGGGTGACACATACTTGGTCCATTTCTTTGACGAGAGAAAACTCGGAAAGAAGAGTTATAATCGTAGTTGGTAAGTAATTCAATAATTTAATGGTTCTTCACTTATATAACATGTAGTTTAAAATTAAATTTTGTTTTTAAATGATTTAGGAAATGGGTTCCAGCAAACAAAATAATTCTTATGGGAGATGAAAAGACAGATTTGGCCAAGTTAAAAGACAGAGGAATGAAAAATAAGATGAAACGAGAAATTCCGAATGCATATGAAGCTGCTTGTAAATCAAAAGGACGTGAACCAGTCCTATTAGATCAATTTACTAAATCAATAACGGTTCCATTAAGAAGAAACAGTCGTAATAAATAGAAATACAAAATATTATCCCATTATTATGGTGATAAAACCATTTTACCGTTCTTTCATAATTGGATTGGCCTCGCGTAAATCATTTGAAAAATACTGGAAAGACTGGTTATTTTTCTTTACTTTCCTCCTGATCTTAATGTAAAGAAACATATCCTTCTTTTTACATTACTTTAATAAATATTATCAGGAAATTTTATTACGTACCAATAATATCTTTTATAGCAAAAAAAAATTAAATTTTTTTTTTAAGGTTAAGTTATTATTGGAATATTTTGTTACAATTATCTTTATTTAATTTTAATTAATCACTGTTCCTTGATTCTATTTATTTATTCATACCATAGATTTTAAGTGAAATTTTAATTAGAAAGTATTGAACTATCAAAATGTGAAGCAAAAAAATAACGCACATTTAATATCATTTGTAAAATATTCATTAACAATTTATTTTTATATCATTATTAATGTAAATAAAATAGTTTATCGAAAATTATTAATTGAAAGAAATTTTTTTTTTTTTTTTTTTTTTTAAAAAAAAAATTAATATTGCAATATACTACTCTATATAATTTATAATTAATGTTCAAACAAAAAAAAAAAAAAAAAGAGAGAACCCAGTAAACTGTGTCATCATCTTAACCATTGTTTCTTGAATAAAGGATGATGATCTTTCGCTTGAGTTTTTTTATCTTTCTTTGGTAACATTGCTTTTGAATGAGATCTACCAGAAAATTCCATGTACGCCATATTATTAGCTCCTGATAAACTTTTCATACTACTAACATTTCTTTTAACTCCAAATCCTTTTTGCTGTGATATGAAATTTCTGCTTGTGACAGTACCAGGTAAATCATCAACATTTATCTCTATATCATTATCTAAATCTGCATCATGATCATTCGCTAATAAAACTTCCGTCAATAATGACAATTGATCTTGATGATCTCTATAAACTAAATCTTTTGCTGTATCCATCCCTTCAAGTTTTGTAATTACTTTAAATGCATATCCTTGATCAATTAAAAATTGTTGTCTCTTCGTTGAGTAGAACATTTCTTGTGTATCTGTTGATACAAGAGAATAAAAGAAGGCATTAAATCCTTCATCATTACGACGTTTAGCACGAAGAATTCGACCTATTAAATTAGTCGCCAAGGGTTTTTTTTTTTTTTCTTAGTAAAAATTTAAAAAGATATCGAATTAATAAAGAAATTTAGGAAATTATATTTTACCTAAACGTTGCGCCTCTTGACGTCTAGAACCATAATGAGAAGATATTTGTATAAGACATGTGGCCTCCGGTAAATCAATGGATGTATCACCAACCTAAAGCCAAAATATTATTATTATGTCATACATTACGAATTTTATTTATAAAAGATACTGACCTTTGATAAAAATATCGTGTTCACCTTGGGGTTATGTTGAAACATTTGAAGAATAGCCAAACGTTCCGGCGGCTTTGTTTTACCATGAATAAAAGGAACTTTCAATTGTTTTGCGTATTTCTAAAGAAGAATCATATAACATTGAGTACGATTGGTAAAATTAATAAACAATTTGAATTAATTGTATTTACCTCCAGAGCGTATACATTATCCGAAAAAACAATAATCTTATCTCCACGGTCTTCATGAAAACGAATCAAATATTGACACGCATGAAATTTATTTGGATTCATGGCGTACAATAACATTCGTTTTCTTGATGTAGCCCTTAGATATTCTGCATAAAACTCTGGAGACATTGGACACCAAACTTCAGCACACTGAACATTGGCGATATGTCCTTTTGAAGCTAAATCCATCCAATTGGCTTCATATAATTTTGGTCCAATCAAAAAGTTTAAATCACCAATCTTGTCATCTTCACGAACCAAAGTCGCTGTGAGACCAAGTTTCGTATGAGCTGCAATTGTTGTAACCACTCTTCTAAACATATTAGCAGGTACAACGTGCACCTCATCTAATAATACAAATCCCCACTCCCTTCCTGTTATGAAATCCATCATCTTTGAAGCTTCATAAGATCTGGTTCTAGTATTAGCGACCATACTGTATGTGGATATTACTATACCAGATTGACCAGAGAACTAAAGAATCAAAATTGATTAAAAAAAATACTACAAATAAACAAAATTATAACTTTGGCAAGTAAAAGGCGAGATTAATCTTACCTTTTCCTTCTGATCAGAAGTAAAAACAGCAATTTGACTTTCTTTAATGGTTGACCATGTCATGAATTGTTGCTTCCATTGCATTACAGAAACACTATTAGGAAGATATAATTAATTTTCTTGATAAGTTTATATCGTTGTACTCAAAACAACATCCAGAAATATTTTAAAATACTTACGCAGAAGTACACAGTACAAGACAACTTTTCTTGATAGTGCAAGCAGCTGTTATTCCCACAAGTGTTTTACCCGCACCACAAGGCAACACTATAATTCCAGATCTTGCACGTCTAAGATAATAAATAATAGTTATTTTAATATTATATATATTGTAAATAAAAACAATAAAAATATATACCCATTGCCAAACATCTTGTTTAAACATTTTTCTTGATATGGGCGAATTACCGTTATTGGTTTGAGGTCGATATCAAGTTGTGCAAGTGTTGAATCGTTGCGGAAATCATATTCCTCCAACATAGGGTAATCAAGACCAATGCAACGTTTTTTCACAACCTATATGATTTAAATATGTTAAAAAATATTCTATTTCCAACATGGTTACTAGCTAACATTTACCTCAAATTTTTCCGATTTGATTTCAAATGAATGAACTTCGTCTTCCTCCTCTTCTTCATCCTCTGTATTAAAAAAATAAATTATTAACTAATACAATTTTACATTTTAATTATATATTTCGTTACCTTTATCGATTTGCACCACAGCATTAAACAAACTATCCTCCTCTGTGATAGGTCCTTTTTCTTTTTCATTTACATTAGCTTCTTCAGTTTTTTCGAGAACTTTTTTACCAGGAATTACCAAATCTTTGCTTGTTGGTGCCTTATTCTTTAGAAACTTGTCATTATCGAACCCTTCAGCATTCACAACACGAGCTTCTGCAATATCTTTATCTTGTAATAGTATTTGTAATACATCAGGATGCGATGATTCGACAAAGTATCGATTGTGTTTGAGTACGAGCTTTACTTTGCCATAAGATAATGTACATGACCTGATAAGTTTTATAATGGAATCAGGAATTTCAATCTAATGAAATTAAATAACCATTAATTAATAATTATATTTGATATTTATGAATATAATTAATATTAATTTATTTAAATCTTGCCTTTGACAAGATCTTTAAGACTTCTATTATAGCTTCTGTCTCTAACCCAACAGAAACCGCAGCATATAACGAATAGGGTGTCAACTTATATTCATGAATGTGAGAAGGTCTATAAATTACAACAATTTATGAAATTAATACAATGAAATTTTCTTTCAAAAAAAAAAAAAGGTCTTACCTGCTCACAGGCTCGCTAATTGCAATTAAGAAATCTTGAGCCTTTTCTGCAAAAGGTGAAAATCCTTCAAGAATAATATGACCAGTCTTTGGATTTATCCATAATGGTCTATTAACATGATCTTTTTTCAATTTTATATGTGAAAAATCGTCATCGCCAAAATATTTGGAGACAGAATCCCGAGTGACATTAGCCATCGATGAGGCAATGGCAAGGGAATCGATGTCAAAAACCGCACTTTTTGGAACTATAAGTACATATTTTATTTAATTTAACATTTTTAAATAAATTAATTAATTCAAGAAAAAAACTACTAATATAACGTACTTAATCCTTCTTTTGTAATATTCCGTATATCATCCTCGTCTTCTGAAATGTTTACCGGAGTAGATCTCTTTGACGATGGCGATTTACGAGTTTTTTTATTAGGCTTAGAAGGACCAACAGAGTGCGAATATTCTTCATCTAATAAAGTTTTGTTATTATACCAAAAAAAAAAATCTTAGAAATCACACAAAAAACGCTTAAATAGCAAAACTTTTATTTTTAAATATTTTTATTTATTTTATTACAAAAAAAAAGCAAACAGACAAAGTCAGGGACATACCGTCCCGAATACGCTTTTTTGCGGACGTTAGTGGCATATTTTTATTATTGTTATTGTTAAACTAACTATGGATTGTAAATACGTTAAAAATTTTTTTTTTTTTGGAAGGAAAAAAAAAAGACGAAAAAAAAGACGAAAAAAATGTTTAATCATCAATCATCAACTAGACGCCGAAGTATTTATAATTTTTTTTTTTTTTTTTTTAATGAATAATTGGTTATTGTAAATCTATTATTTACACTGGATTTGTGATTTGGATTGACATTTTCATGACGCAATTTTGGACTAAATAAATATTACAATTTCGACTAATTTAATTTCGACAGCAATTGCGCCTACATGTATGCACAGACCCACAGATTTTACCACTTTGAGTACAACAAACAAAGCGAATGTTTGATCGTTCATCTTCATCTTCGATCCATTCTTAAAATACCTTCCTTGGATTCGTTTTTCGTTAGAATATTTTTATAATACGCGTAATACGCGGATTTTAGTTTCATTTTGTTAACGAAAGTATAGGAACCAAGAAAAGAATCAGAGTTGCGAAGATCACTTACATATTATAAAAATCATACAGTAGAATTGATAATTTTACATTAAACATATATAAATAAAAATTTTTTTTTTTTTACAAATTTTGCATTTTTAGAAATAAATTGGCTTTGCATTGCACGAATCCAGTAGCTCTAGTCCGGCGAAATTTTTGTAGTGTGGCAATAGTGATATGTTAGTTATGGTTTATAAATCTTCCATGTTTCTCTTCCAAACTTGATGAACCCTGTGTCATAATAATTGGTCAACACGAACGTGACGAATAACCGTTTTGATAACTGTTTTTGCAAAAAAAGTCTCGGAATCCAGTAATTTTCGACTTTTCAAAATTCAAAATTATTACTTTTTACCAACACACTTATCAGATCTGTTCTTTGAGAACATTTGTAATATAGTGGAGTTCAACTATGTGAAATGCAAATAAACCAAATATTATTAAACATGATGAAGGTCTTGCATGATTGGGAAAAAAAGTAGTTTATGTGAAACAAATCATACAAGTATCTTTATGAACAATTGAAAAGAAATCTGTTTGCAGTTTAAAAAAATTTCTAATCAACGGCAATATCGGGTATTGGCAAATCATGTTTCTTTGATTTACGTCTTAATCCAACTTTTATGTGAGGATACTATTATCATTTTCAGCCTCTCAATGATCAATATTTCTATTGTTTCAAGGGTTTAACAATGACCTATAGAACATATGATGATTTCTCGAGTTTATCTACATGTTATCTGGCATCAGAGTTCAAACTAGAATAATAAAAATTCCGGATTTACCGGATTTTTATTTCAAAATCCGGAATTTTGTTATAGAACCGGAACCGGATAATTTAAATTTGTCCGGATTTTATTGGCTGTAATTTTTTTAGGCCGGAACATATCAATTTTGCGTAACATTTTTTTTTTTCGATTGTCATAAAAAGTTTTGTTATTTACATTTTTATCATAAGAATTAAAATTATTTATTTATTTATACATTGATCAATATAACCGAAAACTAATTCATATTTTTTAATATATATTTTAACAAATACAATAAATCCGAAAAAATTTAAATATATGCAGGATAACTTTAAGGTTTTTTAAAAAGTCGGGATTTTTTTTTTTTTTTTTATAAAAGATAATTAACCGGTATATGCTAAGGTCTAGTACACTGGTATGGTAGCATAGCGGACTTTTTCTGTGATTGGCTAATTATACACTAATATGATTGGCTAATAACAAATCATGTGACTATTCGTTTTAATAAGTAATGTAAAATACATTTGGATATTTATCTAAATTACAATTCATTATTAGTTATTTGGTTTAAAAATTTAAATCAAATTATACAATAAAGTTAAAATATGAAAGAATAGTTGTATATTATCTATCATTTATTAGAAATAATCCAACCTTCTCTTACATTTGTGTAAATAATAAGTTTAAAAATATATAATTTCAAATTTCAATCTCTTTTTCTTTCTCTCTCTCTCTATATATAAAATAACATATTGCAAAGAAATATTTTTTAGTTAAGTTCTGAATTACCTTACTTTTTATCAAATTACTTTAACAGTTTATAAAACAGAAGGTATACTTTAGAATTTTTTTTATTGCAACCCTTGCGAATTTAAGAAGATAATCAACATTTTTATATGAATTTAATATGTGACAATCATTTTTAAAATCAACCAATCAGGCTTAAGCCTGCTATGTTGATCATTAGAGATATATTAATTGTAGCTTTGTTTAATTCTAGATCAAATTGAATTGACTGCAAAATGTATTCTTAAATGATTGATTATTAAATTGATCAGTGGTTAGTCAAACTGATCTATGAAAATAGGTGTTTGCTTTTGATTGATCCTAATAAACTAATATAACGCATGCTAGTAATCAATCATATTTATTATTTACAATATGATTTGATCGAGTTGTACAAATTGTGCTCAATTATAATTATGATTTAATTTATTACTTTTTTTTCAATCTGAACAATCTGATCTAGAATTGAATAGGACTTGTATAATTGTAATTGAATTAAATAAATTAAATATTTAATAATTCTGTATAATTCATATACTTTAATTTTAAAAATATGCAAAAATTAATTCAGTATTAAATATATAGAATTGTAATACAAAATTATTAAAACTATTGTTACGTTAGTTTATAGCTTCAATTAAAATCTCAAAAGGTAAATAAAATTAAGATAATTACTTAAAAAATCATGAATAAGAATTCATAATAATGTTAAAGATTATTCTTAATATAAAAATATATAAGATAAATATAAAATAAACACAAAGATAACTCAAAGATATTTTAAAAATTACATTTCAGAGACTTCAAGTCAATATAACAAATCAATACAATATTATATAATAAGTTTACTAATAATAATTAAAGAAATTATATGATTGTAAAAGAATCATGAATAATTTATAACAGTTTCAAAGTATTATAAAGGATAAGTTTTATACTTAGTTAATTATATTCTTTTATTAATATAATGTGTGAATTCAGTACCTAAAAGATTGTTATCATGTTAATACTAAGACTCAAAAAAAATATAGAGATATTTATATATATTGAATAATTAATAAATAAACTAAATTAAATATATCAAAGAAAATAAAGTTACTATTTCATTAAGCAATAAAGTTACTGTGTCAATAAAATTACTAAATCTGCAAGTAACTAAATAGATATCTATGATTTACGTAATTATTAAAGGTAATAAAATTAACATTTAGAGATTTATATAATAATCAACGGTAATAAAATGAACAAAATGATCTTCTTAAAGCTCTATATGATAATAAAATTAACTTCTTAATTTACCAATTAAATTTATCTAAAATTTTACCCATTATAATATATTAATAACCTATTATTTCTATATCATTTCCATATACAAATTTCTTATAGAAATATATTTTATATTATTTTTTAATATTTTTTTATTATTTAAAATAACTGTTTATTTTTAACTTCTTTTGCAAATATATTTTCAGAACAATTATTATAATAGAAAGCTAAATGCTAACATATTTTTTGTGATCTATTTTTAGCCTATTCATATTGGTAATATATACAAGTATCTTTATAATGATTACAAAATATTTTTATTCTTTAATTATATATTATCAGTAGAACAATTAACTAATAATAATAAAATTACATGAATAATATAGTATAATAATCTCTTAATTCAAAATTCTGAAAATACTGAGAATTCTACAAATTCTAAAAATACAGAGAATTTACATAATTTTGCAAATCTTCTAAATACTGATAATCCTAATTTTATAGATTAAACAAAGTTTAAGAATTCTTAATGTTATATTTATTCTTAGTATTTACTTTTTTATTATTATTATTATGTGAACTTTATCCTTAATAAAAATTTTAAATTTATCATTAATTATTATAATTAAAATACACATTTGAAAAAGAATAAAATTTTACATAAAAAACTTTAATTGTAATATTTAATTATTATATAAATTACTGTTTTATATAATCTTAAAAATACAATAAAAATCAATAAAAAAATTTTTTTTAAATTTATTTAAAGAAAATTAATTATATTAAAACAAAATAATAACTTTTAAATACTTTTATTTGATACTTTTTTATAAAGTGTGGTAATTTCACGATATACATTATATTTATACAGTATTTAATAAATTACACAAATATAATATTCAAAAAAAATAAAAAATTTGAGAATTAATACAGTTATAAAAGCTATTATTCAACGAATATTAAATAATATGAGATAAAAATTTGTATATATGTAGTTTTAGAAATATAGAACATTTTTATTTAATACATAATAAGCAATTTACATTAACCAAAGTGATTAAATTATCTTGTGAAGTTAAAAAAAAGGTCTGTGCTATTAATAAAGTTACAAAAACATATATTACAATACGAATATTAATCCAATCAAGATTAAATTTTATATGCAAATAGTATTGTATCTGCTAAATAACTTTTACTTAGAAATAAAAAGTGATTGACTTTGACCAAAGTGTTCAAATTTCCTTGTGAATTAAAAATGTGTGACTTATTTAGTAAAGTTACAAAAAAAAATATTTCTACCACTGGTCGAAATCAAAAAAATTAGACATGCGAAAATCAGCTTAAAATCAGCCTAAATTTGGCAAATTATCAAAAATCAGCCTAGCCAATTGGCATACATCAGAAATCAGTCAAGAATCAGCCAAAATTTGATCTATCTTATTTATAGCTGATTGGCATACTTATAGCCAATTAGTATATATCAAAATTTAATTTATCTTATTTATAATTAATTGATGTTTGATTAGAATGATTGTATTATTTTTTAAGTATGATAGGTATTATTATTCCTTAAAAATGATGGTTTTATCATTCCTAAAGAATAATGCATTTATCGTACCTTAAGTATGATAATTTATCATTCTAAGGTACGATGGTATTATCATTTCTTAAAGACGATGATTTTAT